CACCCTCACATTCCGGTAGATCAGTTGAGAATTTAGAGCTTGTCCCGACCGTGGAAGTACCCGCTGGGGGGGAGGGGGGAATAATCTGCAGCTGACTTGTAAATGGGTGCCAGAGCTCACCCCCCGGAAGGAAAGAAAATAAGTCACCTCCCGGGGAAAATATTCACTACACTAGTGGCTTCGGTAATCTGGATGGTTAGCGTATTTGAATGTTTTACCTACGTTTGCGGGTTCAATCTGGTTCAAGGTATGGATTTTTAAGGGCAAAAAAATCCTTCATACACCTTCCTTCGGAGGAGAAGTAAAGCCGGCTTGTCCCATGTAGTAGATTTGCTGCATGTAAAGATCGTCAAGCCTAATAAAAGCCTCTGAGCTAAATTCAAATCGCCTGTTTCGTCAACCGAGTAAAACTTTCTTTCTCCGCTAGATGATGACAGGAGCGAAATTTGTGTGGTCAGAAGAGGGTATGGTCCGAGTCTCGCCAATTAAAACACGGCATAAATTAAAGTAAAGACCATGGTAGTTGATGTACCTTGATACATTAATGCATCAAACAGTTCTATCCATAACGTATCAACCGTAAACAGATACATTGTTGAATTCTCTCGACTGCCTTTCAACAACCATTTTTTCTTCATCTAAGCAAATCCTGGCCTTTGGTAGGAATTTGTATGATCTAACAGATGTTGAATTCATTTTGGTTTGTTCCGTCACTTTCGAAATATTCGCAAAAAGTTTATGGGGTGAAAAATTAAATTTTGTTTCTAGTGTTCACACACTTTTTGAATCTACAATTGAATTATTATTTCCAAAACTTTCAATTCAATGTGATTAATTAGTGAGATGGTAGGAAAAGAAGAATGGCTTGCATTTGTTTTAAAAACACAACTAAATCTACTGTTTACATACATAATAACGATAATAATGAAATAAGTTATTTATAAAAAGTGTCTAACAAGTCGAAAGGGAATGTAACTAAGTTCTCACGCGATTTTTACATCCGGTTTGTCATATTGTCGCATAACCTTGGATTTCCTGATGACGCCGGGTCCTGAACAACGAGAGTCATTGTGTCCCGTTCTGACACGAACATCAGGATTTCATCGTTCGCCGTACGTTCTGTGCATTGAAATCTAGTTTGCGACGATCATATCAAATATCAGCAGGTGCAACATTGAAAGGGAAAACATAAGTGTAATTGTTATTTCAATGTGTTAACAATTAAGCTATATTTACCACCCAGAGAAAACGATATTTATACGTACATTAGTACAGCAAAAAGTAAGGATTTGCATCTATATAATCATACTTTCAGAATTGTCAAGATTTACCAAATCAATCTCAAGCTTTACTAGTTGTTAATCATTCATAGTTTTCTCTTATTATTGTGTGTCTATTATCTCTCTTATTTTTGTGTGTCTATTCCAACATCTCATAACCGGTTTCTCTTTGTGGGTTCGAATCCTTCTCACGTTCGTCAATAAATGAACTGATTTATCTGAACAGATAAAATTGCTCACAAAAATTAGAGAACTTTTATCGATGTGTTATTAAAAAAAGGTAGACCCAATTAACACGGTTCCTTTTGACGCACTATTTCAGAGTTTTAGCAAGCGCAGAACGGCTTCTGAGAAGGCGAAGTGGCTTCTGCACTTGCCAAAGTTTGCTAACCTCGAAATCGTTTGTCAAAAAGAACCGTGTAAATTGGGAGACTCTTTTTTGCGCGTCTCGACTGAAGTTAAGCTCATGAGACAATAGAACCAAATAATTCAAAGATTTGTGCGAAGTTTGTGTTGATGCGTTTTAAATGCGTGGCGCGTAAACATTACTTGTCATACTAATTTGGCCTGTGAACCTTTTGATGTTGATTTTGACTAAGGGAAGCTCGAGTGTCCGATTTCTCAATCTTCTGAAATAATTTGCTTTACATGCCTGCTTTGCTATTGTGTTAGTATCATATTAAGTATTACTCCTCATCAAAAAGCCGAGTAAAACAGTGGGCTCCCCCGGAGTATTGCCAGAATCCATTTTCCCCCTCACACCCCTACCCTTTCCACTTCCCAACGCCCGTTGCTCCAAATTGAAATCCCGATTTCTGTTGCAATTCAAGGACCGTTCGCTGTGTTCTCGAGGACATGCTGAGATATATTGCTCTGAAAATCCAGCAAAGGGAATCAGGAGAGAAAGGAGAAAGCTTTTGTTGACTAGAAACGTTAATCCTTCTGTGGGCTGTACCCGGTAATTAGTAATAAGAAAACAATACGTAAGTACCAATTCTTTGCCTTGAAGACTAAGAAAACAATTTGAGGCAAGTGAATCATCATGTTCCAAGACGGATGAGGGCACACTACTCTGTAATAATAGTCCTTCCAGAAGTATGCTTGGAGTATTACGTGTATTCCAGGTGCAAAACCATATGCTCGCAATTGCCGTTGGCAAAGTTTGGGCAAGCCTGAAATGAAACAACCGGAGTATTATATAAGAGACACGTGATAAAGCCAATTATCTAAAGAACTGGTAATGAGTGTGGGGCGTTCTCATCCATCTACGAGATTATACAACGATATTTCTTTATAGATATCTCGTGACAGAAATGATTGGATTTTAGTGGAATGCTTTTCCATGTAAATTGCGCCGCAGGAACTGCGGGGAAAACAGCGAAATGCGAGAAGGACGTAGTTTCCGGAAGGACGCGCATGCCCGATCACATCTCACAGGAAGTGGCCGGGGACCGGAAGCAGTCGCCACAGCCGGGAACATCGCACCGGAGACCGAAACAGAGGTTGTGGCTTGGTGGCGAAAAATATCCAGATAGTTACAATAATAATATTATGGAACGAATCTCTTTAAGGCGGAACTGGCTTTCAGACGGAACTAGTCATGTGTTAATAATTCTATCCATGTTTTCAAATTTTTCGCATTATTAGAGTCGTATTGATACATACTTGTCGGTGAAATTATGAGATTCCTACACTGAGAATTTCCATCGAAGGATTTCTTACGAAGAATATTAATTAGTGCCAGAAATAATGTGATTTTACTAGTAAACTTTGTGTAAATAACTGCGCAGGTTCTAAGAAAAAATACAAATACTACAAGTTTGTAGTTCCTGAAATGGCTTCTAAAATAAACATATTTTAAACTTCAAATTTTAATCCTATCAGCCTGTATTGCAGTAGTTATGCATTTATTAAATATTGCTTCTCTCACAACAACTGTCCACTTCCGACCTCTTATTGTTGATCTCAAATTGCTGATTTTTCTTCCATTCATTCATATATTTGCCAAACGATGTATTTTACACATATGGGATCAGTCGAGAAAACTATGTGAAAGCTTTGCCCGGAAGGGAAGGCCCGCTTGTGAATAACTTTTTCGAGTGCCTGCGCCCGGACGCGCGTCTGCTGGCGACCACCTTCCACGCGTGACCTCGCGTACTGGCCGCCCCCGCCCCCGCCCCCACCTCCACCCCCGCCCCGCCCCCGCGAGGACAGCCAACGCGAACGTCCGACTCTCTCACGAAAATTGCGAAAATCCCTGCAGACGTGCCCCCCGGCCGAGGCTGGAGGCGGCAAAGCAAATTTACAGCCGGTGATAGAATCTCGCGTGCTCTCGCCGGTTCTCATCCTCGCACGTAGTAAAAAATATTGTTGCCGGCCTCGTCACACACTCCCTCTGACGCAGGGTGTCGGAGAATTTTCCGGACGAGGTGCACTACACACTCATCCTACGTGTGGCAGTCGGCGGGTCGAACCAAACTCGATGAACTTTCGTGAAGTCGTAGGCTTCGCGGCCAGTCATGTGTATGATCTTGGCTGTCCGGGTGACGACTATCGTGTCCCGACTATGTATTCCCGACGTTTCGACTATCTTGTCGTGGTCTTCCTCAGGGCTAGTATGAATGATGATGGCATACCAGTCCTGAGGAAGACAGCCAAGATCATACACTTGATGGATTTTCCCTCTGCGATATTCATCGTCCACTTCCATTAGCATTGGGCCAAAGACGTGTGGAGAGGGAATCTTGCTTTGCGAGTTGGAAGCAGTTGCATTTCTTCCGTTTCCCTTCCATACATTTCCTGTAATATTTCCCTCCTTCGAAATATTGTTTTTTTATTTCAATGTTTCTTCGCATACAAATATTCCACGGAATCTTTGAAAATGGCAAACTAGTGGTGCTACAGAATGGCACAGACTTTCTCGTAGTGAAGTTGTTTTATTTCCTTGGTGTGGACTGGGTATACGGTCTTGCCCCATCCTCTTGCCATATAAAGTATATTTTTTTTGAAATCTTTCGGTTTCCTAATAGTAGAACCGAAATATTACTATAATAATATTAAAAAAGAGCAAAAACTTGTTCTAAATAGCAATTTTAATTGAAACATTTGAAGCCGTTTGTAAGAAAGTGACTGTTAATGCAAAATATGAAGCTCTTTTTCACAGAAAGTGTTTGCGTTTTCGAAAATCTTCATTAAAAGTCATATGAAGAACATTCACTCATAATTGCGATAGTGTTTACAAATTGCTGAAAATATGCATATTAACTAACATATGTTTCAAATGACTATCTACCTATGAATCACATTGGCCAAAATCGAAATTCCAGATGATATTTCAAAGGAAATGGAATTGGTTATTTTAGGAAAATCCACATCTCCATTCTTTACGAAGTTCGATCTGTTGATCAAAAATTCGTTTTATGCAAGAACGACGTATACATCCTCTTTTGCTTAATAAAATCTAAATTGTGTTCTCTGCTCGCTTCGAATACACTCCGGATACACGGTGTCTTTCAACACTGTGCGTCCTAGAACAGAAGATTTCGATGTGACGTTAAAGAAATAACCTATTCAATTATTGTATGATAATTATATTTCATTAACATATGCGCTATGAAGTAAAGTTTAGTAATAATCAACTGATTATTTAGAGCATAATTTCATAAATAAACACAAATCAGAGAGTTTGTTTTCAAATTTAAATATTTGTTTTTGTTTCAGAATCGATCGTCTGACAAACCTGAGGAGCCAAAATGTTCGTGGGAAAGAATTTGAAATGCTGTAAGTAATCCTAAGACATAAATAATTTAAAATATAATGGTATTTTATTCTAGTGTCGTTTTAAATCTACTAGCTGTTTTCAGGGAATACGGAGCACTTTTATGAACACAATCGCAGAATATTATGAGAATACCATCGATTAATTAAAAGGAAACTAACAGAACCTTTAGGTAGAATCTTTTTGCATCTGTTGGGCGGACGAAATTTTTCTTCCTGTGAAGAAATTTCCATCATACTACCTACTATTTATCTTTTGTTTATTCATTAGTTATTATCAATCGCTATCTTCATCTATAGGTGCCCATTTTAAATCTAGGAGTTAAAATTTTGATCTCTGACATCGCTTGTTGGAGAAGAATTTCGCACTGTGTATGAACTGCACATTATAATAATTTTTTTTATTTTGCTTGTTAGACCCACGTCAGTCTTCAAAGCGATAGGTAAAGATCTGAATTGATTTTTCATAAACTTCCGGGTCTTAATGATGATGAACAGGAAGAAAATCTCCCTTGCTCTCCATGGCTCGTTTGTTATGATCCGTCATTCGCCTGGTGTTGATCGGAGAAACTACGGGAAACTACCCATCAGAGCAGCCAGCCGCTAGAATTCTCCTTTCAACAGCGGCTGAATTCGACTTATCTATGTAGCTATGTCGGAATCACGCCCAGACAACCACCTCACTGTCAGGGGCTTCGCAGTTACATTAGTCGTTGCTCTTGGCCACTTTTACTAGTTTTATAATTCCGAATGAGTGTTTATGTGATCTTCTTGAACATACGATAAGACAAATTGATGAACAGAAATTCTTCTCGGTTCTCCGTTTCGGACTGGCGTATTCATAGAACTGTGCTTCACAGTACTGCGCGTGAGGAGACGATGTTGGAAAGCGGCTGCGGGGCCGCTGGCCCGAACGAGAAAGTGCATCGTGCCGCCGTCGCCGCTCCGTGCGCGTGATCCTTCGCCGAGAGCCTTCGACGCGGTGCGTCGGGTGGCGCCCCATTTGGCCTCGCAGCCAAACAGGTCAACAGCTGAAGAACGTTGCAAGCGCATCGCTGCAACCTCCGCCGCGAAGGCTAATGATCGGAAGCTCTACGCGAGTTTCATTCAAGTTTACTAGTTACTGCGCTGTCAACCCCCGTAATGCTCTTATTTGTCTGGAGCTTGTAATTGACGTTTTTGGCAATCAGAAAAGCATACACGAATGTTGCATATTCTTGACTGTAATTTAATATGGATGGAGTGGATACTGGATTGGAGTGTAATTTCACCTCCAATGATGATGTTTGCAAACTGTTTCTTACCTACAATTTGTGAACGTACAGTTTCAGCTTATGACAAACATTGTGAGACATTTTATTTGCAATTTGCTAGTGATAACAGGGAATAATTTCCATCCTTCTTCCATTTGTGTTAATAAAGATTAAGATTTTTATTGAATAAATAGTACACGATAAAGAATTGTTACTCTACATTTCTTCGAGTTTTACTTCTGCAGTTTAAAATGAAAAGGGTATAGGTTATTGCTTTTTTCTTTGAAGAAACTTTGTTTTGAATTATTGTGTAAAGCCATATTCGAGGGTGAATTTCTTAAAAAAATATTCATGAATCTAAGAAAGAGACGCTAAGTACTTCTCGGCTTAAACATATCTGACGCATGCGACTTAACCGAAGGGAGAGCAGTAATTGTACTTGATTCAGCCTTGTCCGAACCTGAGGGTAGCTGTAAGCACTGGGTGGGAACGGATTGCTCACGATCCATGGTTAATTTAACTAGTGACGCTATAACAGCAACTTCTCACGTTACTTGTAACTTTTTGCCACTTTTAGACATTTATAGAGTTGAACGAAAATGAAATCTATGAACGTAATAAGATTTATTGGAGTGACGGTGTGTACGGGAGATAAATAATGTCAAATTGTCTTTTTGCTATTTATGAATTCAGTTTGAAGTAACCAGTTCAATAATATACCTTTTCTCTAAAAGAAACGTAGAAAATTCTCCAACATCAAAAGTAGTCTAACTTACAGTTAGTGTAAAAAGTGAGTGGACATTTACGAATCTTTCTGTCTTGGGCCTGTGAAAACTTTGCAGAAGGATTTGACATAAATAAGATAAAACAATCTTCACAACAAATAAGCTTACCCTATATTTCCAGAAACATAGTTTCACAAAAACAAACAAATATCTTGGTACTGATGAAAACAAGAAACACTACTCTGAAGTGGGGCGAAGAAGTCTTTGGACTCTTATAGTTCTCGGAGGTTTCCGCAGAAATATTGTCGGTTACGTTACCAATAAATCGGTTACGTTAGCAGTAAAAACTGAAATGAAAATAAAACTACCGAATGAAAATATTTGGTGGACAACATCCTCCCCCTCCTCATACCCGTGGGTCTGCGTGTCTTGTGTAGCCTTCCGATAGTCTTGCGATGTTTCTTGCCTCACGTACAATAACTGTTCCTAATCGCTCTGAAATATTTATTGAGTAGCTTCATAATTGAGTCCTCTTGATGTCTGACCATTCATCTCCCGTTTTCGACTATGGCATTGCGACAGGAGGCGTAAGTTTTTCAGAGTTCTTTCCCTTCTCTGTGTGGCACATAGTCTCATTTACACCAGTTTCGGGGACACGAATCATTGTAAATGGCTGTTTGTTTTCATTCAGGAGTTCGAAGTTCTTGCTTTGTTCAGTCCACGAGTCTAATACTGCAGTCAGTTGCAGACACAGTCAACTATCTATTGCGGAAATGTTATTCCTCGAGTTGGTAGTGGATTGCGAGAGAGTCAAACTCTTCTGTACCAGTTCCTTAGAATCATGTGCTTCATCGTCTCGTTCAAGATGGCCGCATTTTTCAATGCCTAGGTATTTATGATTTTTATCTGGTTTAAAATCTTGAATCACAATGCACTTATTGACTTTAATATTTTCTCTCGTTACCACTTTGCTTCTTCGAAAGGTATTTTTTGCACAATTGTCAAGACCAAATTTCATGCAGGTACCTTGAGTTACTCGCAGCTTAGTTAGATAGTTGTTCTCATTTTTAGTTGCGCGAGTTTAATTACGCTATTGGTAACTTTTATGGAATTTATAAAAACATCCGATCCAGTTTGATGGATTCACTCATTGTCGAGGTATCCCCCAGAATCTTTAAGTACTGCGCACTAGAGTTCCACGTTAAGGAACTTAAGGAAAGGGAAATTGGTAATTGTCACGAAATCTGCTAAAGAAGTCACTAACTTTTCCTTGTTTTGTAAGCTAAGAGTACAAAATGTAATTAAGCGAGAAATGCAACTGTAGATTTGTTTATATTAGTTAACGAAACGAGTGTATAAATAGGCGTATAATTGCACGATGTGGTAGGATTAAAGAAACGAGCGACGATAGGAGCAAGTTTCTTTATTTACCACGAGTGCAATTATACGCATTTATACACGTGTTACGAACAATATTTTTTCGTTTCCATTCAAAAATATTTTTATTTTGAATAATATAAAAATATATCTTTAGCATTCCATATTTACTTTGATGATGTCATTTTCATTCCGAAGAAGACCAATTTTAATTGGCCTTGCCTGTGTATTTACGATCGCCATAGTGACTTAATGAATTTAGGAAGCATGGAGGATTACAATAATATTCCGGACGAAATATTAGAAGAAGCTGAAAACGCAACGAACGCATTGCTCCCTACAAAAGTAAAGATGTCTATGAAAAATAATATAATCTATACAAATCATGGAAAATCGCTAAGAGAGTCACACATAGTAGTGAAGAAGTGTTAGTTTATAATTTTGTGTCATAAGTACATTGATTATATGTTATTGATGTACATAATATGTGATGTACATTTCTGTTCATGTTTCATGACCGTCTGGAAACGTCTATATTAAAGATACATAATTAAACGATTTCCATCAGTCCTCTGAGTTCTGATTGGCTGTTGTGGACTTTTAATTGCACGATTAAGTTTTAATTGTACGCATGCCATAAACACAGTGATAATAAACGATTTTTCATGTAATTAATGAGCATAATTCATGTAGAAAACGAAAAAAACTAATAATTCCTCCTTGCACAAAACATAAAATAACAATCTGAAAAAATAGTACAAATTATTACCAACAAAATACTCGACCCCTTAGGTGAAAACTCACTTGAAATCAGTTTAGCCGTTCCAGAGAATTGTCCGGATAAGGAGAGACAAAAATTGTTAAAACAAGTTAACAGAATTGTATATTACCTAAACAACCACATGAGCTTACAAACCTGTCATTATAGTCGTTTTAGGGTATTATTCTCCTAATATCTACTGCACATTCTGTACATCTTGGAAACCTCTACCAAACTATGAAAATGACATTTGGAAATCACCTTAGGTTTACGTACATGTTGTCTAGAATGGTTTGTTTTAATAGTTGTATATTCGTTAATGATGTAGGTCTAGTAATTCTATTCTGCAAAAGGTCACGAAAATCGTAGTAATTACGAGTTGTGCCGCAAGAGGAAAAAGGTTGAGCCGCGCTCCGAAAGAGCATCTGGGACATGACCTTGGCCACCTCCACGTGCTCCTCATCTGGACCATCAACGTCACGCACACCGGCTCCCGAGAGACCACTCGTGGTTCACTTTCCAACGAGATTTGTACAGAAACTGAACCCCCTCTCCTTACCCAAAAATTAGTTATCGTTCTCTGCTAGTTTTTTATGCGTACTTGACCTGCTGTTTCGTGGTTTGCGCAACAGCAGAAACACTTGAGTAAAAAGATATTGATCACTTTCAGTGAATCTAAAATTACACTAGAAAAGTATTTATTTATGTCGCGTTACCTCTTGCAACTGAACACGAATTAAATACCACTATGAAACATTCCAGAAATCTTTGCTTTGAGAATAGGGAATCCAGTAACAAGGAAATACTTTTGTATGGTTTTAGTTGAAGTTCAATTATTTTTTTAAAAGTTATTTATTTCTGATGTCCGATAAATGGCATGACAAATATTCTAACACGAAAGCCCTGAAAATAAACGTTATGTATTATTATAGACATTCATAACGCATTATCCGATATTGTTAACGTTTTCAATTACTGTTTAATTATTTCAAATGTCTTGAGAAACTTAAACACATCTTTTGTGACATTACAAAAGTATTGGAAACCTGTATAATTGCCAATTGTTCCTCAAAATATTCCCCATTTTTTTCTTCGAACCATCAATCACTTCAGTTAAGTAAGATACCATGTAAATTAATATGTCATATAGAAGTATTTCGAATTCCTTTTCTTTTTAACAGTATGGTGCATGCGCCAGCTATCGAAAAGGAAGAGAAGCTGCTGGATAGGTTTAATTAAAATTGTTTAATCATATATTCAATTTACAATGTCATTCATCGTTTGACAATAGTGAGAAAGTGTGTAAAGAGTAGAAATATTTTGCAGAGTCGTGTTATTGTTTGAAATGAGGGCAGAAATGGTGGACGTTGTTCAAGACAGCTCTCCAAATCGACCAAGACAACGGTAGTACATTCTTTATTTTCGCTCATTATTCGATTCTGAAAAATTGGCTAGCCAGCGTTCCGTATCATAACTTCCTACACAGTTCACGTGCCTAGCAGCAACGTGCCGTGAAAACTCCTTGCAACAAACGTGAAGACGTACGTGTTTTTTTGGCGATGATCCCACGACTTCGACTGACGTACATAGCCAACGTTCATGGTCGTTTTCATAAGCAGAACATCGCTGAGGATATAAAGTTTAGAATCTGAAGGTTGCCTCACACGTAGTTGATGAACATCAAATGTAGTTTTGCTTACCTGAAATACTACAGTCATCTACTTTGACGTCTTTTCCTGCATTTAATTATTGCAAGATTAATCACTTGGATTTGAAGATCACCTCTATATTATTAGCTTATTTGAAGAAAATTAAGATTTTTGGGCTTTAAAAGAATTCATATGATTCGTTCTTTAGGAGCACATACTAGATATTTATGTACGAAGGGCGTTTCAAGGGTTTTTAATGATCAAACGGCGACATAAAGTCCGAGGTCTTTCATCGGAAGGCTTCTTGACCCAGGCAAATATAGTGTATATCGAGGTCTGTACCAAAGGCAAGAATA